AAGAATTTACCAATTAAATAAATCTGACGAAGCTCGTACTGATACGTAGTTTTTAAGTGATACCCAAGTACGTTTCAAATATCTCATAAAAATTACAATTGCTTCAAAATCATTTTCTATTCTTCTCGCTTTCGTACGAAATACATTTAATCCATCCTCAAAGTGATTGGCCGGAAGTAAAGGGAGAGCCCATGTCATCTCAAGTATATTTGTATCTGCATTTTTTAAATGTAGATTCCTCCGTTTCCTTGTAACGGCCTGAATATAGCCAAAAATAATAAAAGAACAATATTTGTGAATTATCGAAAGAAAATATTAAAAATAAATTTTTTTTTAGCAACAACACTCACGCGAGTGAAACGAAACCAGCAGCCTCGGATACAGATAAGTGGAAAAGTTTGGCGTAATGAAGCAATCAACGCTCTTTCATAATCGGTTATGGCTACTTGTAAATTAATCATTAATCTTGGTGCCATCTCTATGAGCTTTGTCCATATAGCATTATACAATGCTGCAGTACTGCGTTCACATAAAATACAAGTTTATCAATAATTAATCAATTAGTAATAATTAAAATAACATTAACAAATTTAATAACACATAAATGAATTTACAATGTCTCTTTGTCTTTGATAGATGATGAACAATTGTGAACACCGAGGATAATAGGGAATGCACTAAAAAAGGATAAAGATTACTTCTTTTTGTTCAACTATGAATGTATATACACCTGCATAATAATTTATACCTTAAAAGTACCATCCATGTGTAATTCAGATGCTTCATTGAGTGAATTGATGAAAGTTTGGCTAGCAAATATAATTGCAACACTTCCATCAGTTCCATGGACTGCAGCTCTAAATATTGGAAATACTGTAACATATCATTGCAGCATTTGCTCCAAACCATGAATTGCTGGTGGAATTAGGGGACGATGTCATCTCTGTTCTCGAATCACCTGCATACATCCAGCTTCAGGTCTTATCAAGTGAGTTATATCTTGAAATCTGGAATATTCAGTAAGTTAAAAATATTGCAATTTCCTACATACGTTCAGTAAAAAAAATTAATTGTGAACAAACGTAATATTAATGAAACGCATCAAAAGATAATAGTAAGATAATCAAAAAACATTTACTTACCTCCGGGATACCTCTAAAAAGACTGCATTTGATGGTAAAAATCTTTCTCTAGCCATCCTTTTTAACTCAAAAATCATCTCACGTGGCTTAATCTCTTCTTCAATACTATTTTCAGGATGTTCATGGTCGCCAAATACATCGACACTCCCATCACTGCGTTCGATGGCAGTTACCGGACAAACAAAATTCGGAATTTCGGCGTTGGCAAATATATCGCCATTCATTAGAAATTATATTTGAATTCCGATGACATCGTAAATCTCTATAGCAGATAAAATTTTCGTAAGCGAATCTAAAAGTTCCTGGACGTTGTCCTTGAAATCTTTCCATGGTGCGCAGAAAAATTTTTGCAAGCTAAGAAAGAAATAATTTTGTATATGTCGGAAAACTTATTATCGAATAAAAATTATAATTGAAATACACTCACTACATTGCATATTAATTAAATGAATTTACTGCACTACTTTTTCTTCTTTTCCTTTCTTTTCTTTATATATTTCATCCAACATTTATTAAACTGAAGAATGATCGTTAAAATGACCTTATCAAAGAAGAGGAGGGCACGAGAGGATAATTTTTGCGACGCAATTTCGGATTGGCGGGATAATAAATTTGAAATGTCTAGCTCCTTTTATAACCAGGAATCGGTAAGTAGTTACGATTTATATTTACTCGTGAATATGTATAATGCTTTAATGCCTTTAAAAATAATGTAAAAAATAATGTTTTATATTACTGAATTTAGGAAAATATTATATTGATATCGTTATAATTACAATTGTTTTATTCCGTCTTTATGGAGCAAGTATTAATGATAACCTGCAAAAAGTTAAGATACCATTATTATTTTACCATTGTAAATAAATGTTACTGATAAGGTTCCTGGTTTAACTGAATATACGAAAAATGAACAACAGCAAAACATAATTTTTTCCACAAAAAATTGTGATTCTAAAAATATCCCTAAGTTGGGAAATGAATTTTGTAATTTCTTATTCATAGAAATGTTAACTTTTTCATAATTACTAATTATTAAAGTGGGTAACAAAAAATAATTTATGTATATTTATTAGGTCAAATTTAGTATCTGCCAAGTAAAAAGGAATAAAGAATTAGTGACAGTCAACATATCTTTATTGAATTCTAATGGAGAAAAATACAAAATGGTAATGAAGTTATCGCCGGAGATTCATGTAATAGTTTTATTGCTGCTCTTAAAAGTTTTGGTTTTATTGAAACAGTAAATCATGGAAAAAAAATATTTTTCCAGGTAATATTACTTTCCAGTAATATATATTACTCAAGTAGTAGTTCTATTTCAACAAAAATTAATTTAGTGTTTGTAATTGTATAAAAATATATACGCATACTTTTTTTTAGTACGTTTGAAGGGGATGCAAATACTTTAGACCTAAGCACTGAAGTTAAATGTCCCATAGATGTAGGAAATGGAAGTGGCGCAGGTGGTTGTATTGCAGCTGAATTGGTACGTTCAATACCACTTAGTACAATTCCACGTGCTACACCTGTCAGTGAAGTTTTTGATGGTACTGTAATTCGACCATTATGCCATGCTAATCCTGAACAAATTGAATATGCCGAATTCATAGAACGTGTCATTAGTTTTGATGAAAATAGCTCTAAAGATGTAAATATAGTATAATGGGTTTGCTAAATAAACAAGAGTTATAATATTAAATCGTAACGAAAAATATGAAAGTCTTCTTTGTTTACAGTATGGAAAAAGTAACTATAGCACTAAGGGTGTTCACACAATCAAAAACAAAAGCCATAAAATGTACGCATGCGTACAAACCAATTTTTAACTTATTATGATGTTAGTATGCACGCGTACGTCTTAAATTGTACGTTACGGCTAATGTTTTTGAATGTGTGAACGGTCTTACAATACAAAGAAAGATTGTCTTGGACCGATAATTCGAAGATTCCCGACCCAGCACGGAAACTCTCGAGAATAGAAAAATTTATAGGAGAGCACCCGAATTTTTCCTACCACACGGTTCATAATAAATTATATACAGATTCTCATTTTTTTCTAGTCACTCACTAATTTTTGTTTAAAGTTTGAATAAAAATTAATATTTATCGAATATTACCGTGCTACATAAGAATTTTCACTTTTACTCTTCTTAATAAATATTTAATCTATAGTAAAAATTTTAAAAGGATTACTTATTTTTCTATGAAGGTTGTCTTAATTATTTAGGGAGTTGACATTGCGCGTGGATTGTTATGCTGAGCACGGTAATTTTTATTGGAATTTTTTCTCCGTGTACATACATACGTACGTACGTACACGCACATATCATTTTAAAAATTGGTCAGTACGTTGCAAATATCATAAAATGTGAAGATATGGTGAAAATTCAAATTTGACCAATCGACCCAATTTTAATAACTTCCTAATGGAAAGTTAATATAATTCATTTTGAATATTATTTATTCTGAGATTTGAATAATTGGCGTTCAATGATTTAAGGATTTTTTGTAATTTTATCGTTGTCGTTATTTATGTTAGGTACACATTTTTTTACAGTCCAAAAGGAAGATTGCGTAAGAATTTATTTCTCATAAATGAATTAAAATACTAAGTATGCAGGTATTATGACGAAAATAACTTTCAATGATTAAAAAAGACTTAATTGTCTGTTTGGTTCATTTTATGTGTATAAAAATACTTATTAATGCTCTTTAAAAATTGAACACTTCAAGTGTATGATTCAATTTCCATATTTCGTGACCTGTAAAATTGTTGAAGGTATTTACACAATAAAAAAGTATCAAAATCAATAACAAATAATCACTAAATGATTGTAATTCCTCTGAAGTATTGTTAAATCATTTTTAACGAATTTTGGGAATTCCTATATTTTATTTATGCTGTCTACAGAAAAACTGTTGATGTTATTCATCATGTAAAGTAAAATAAGATAACTCTTATTCTATAACTGCACAAGTCGTAGGATTTTTGGTATTCTCTAATTCGTTGATAATTGAAAATAATTTGATTGTTTGTTGTAAGTTATTTTTTGGAAATTGAAACTATTGACTTATTTGTGTGGTTGAATTTTCCTCAGTTCAGCATAATTTTTACGCTAAATTTTCGAAGCAATCATGATCAATTCTATCTATCCGTGAGTCAAAAAATTCGCTATTATATTTACTGATTTTACAGTTAGTGTTATTATTTCTACTATTTCGATTTTAGAGAACAGTTAATCATTATCAATTTTTCTAGAAAAATATTCAATGGTTGTTCACTAACTTTAATGTTTGACAAGAATTATTATTTATTATTAGAGCTATTTCAATTATTGGATTAGTAATCGTACACTTGATTAACTATGAAAACAAAATTTACATCCAACATCGGATGAGTGTATGGATGGTTCAACCAGTTAGAACCATTGATTCATGTCTTTCATTCACTCTTTTATTTTGTTACTACTACACAATTAACGACACACGCATCTTTCCTTTCTTCACCTTCTTTTGATCTTCAATATCATCATGTGGGGTATCCGTTGCTTTTTGGTTCTAGTCTCTTTTATTTGCAATGAGCACCTCAAAGTCTCCACCTAAACATTTTTGCTAAAAAATTCATTAGAAAAATGCTGACTTGTCATAAACACTCTAGTACACTTTTTTTTAAATTTTAATAATTTTTTCGTATCAGTATTGAGACAATTTAGTTGCTGTATGTTAAAGAGAATTAAAAAATAAAAGATTAAATTACTAAGAACTCATCGAGTCACTGATTTCTTATGTCTGTGAATCATCGCTTACTTTCAAACATGTTTTACGTAGTATCTGGATTCAGTGTTCTTTCCTCTCCATTTGAGGATCATCGACAGATACTGTGTTCACCAAAAAATGCATGAAAATAATCAATTTTCACCGATTTTTTGGACGTTGTTAAATCTTCAGCCTCAAAACGGATACTCAAAAATTAATTTTTTTCAAGTGTAGTTAAATTATATTTAAGATGCAATGAAATTTCACTGTTTTTAAATAATGGAAGTTTTCACAGAAATACATGAATATCATCATAATGAAGATCTGGATACAAATACACAAGTCATGGTGCCATCAAGTAAGGCAACTTGTATTATTTTTTACTTGCTTGACTCGAGTAGAATTGAAATATAATTTTGTAAATCATTTTCTGAGTACTCATTTTATGTTTTGCAACAGTTTCGATTGGTAATAAAAACAGCTATATGAAAGAGTACTTTAACCTTAGTTATACACGATTATCTTATAAACTGCGGGATATATTAAAAAATATTTTAAACAGAAATCAATTGTCATCAAATTGTTTACAAAAAAAGTTTTCACACTGTGACCCCTAATCTACATAGTTTAGCTGTAAAATGACAATAACAATTGGAAATTTGATTTTGAACATTCGTTCTCTTTTACTGTCAATTTAATACTAAACTATTTAGAACATGGAAAAAAAAATTTAAAGGTCTTTTAACTTTGCATAAAAAATTTTAATGACTTTTAGCAATGAAATTACAATAATTGTAAAAAAAAAATATATTAAAAATTAATTTTTCGCAATAATCAATAATTTTCCATACTTAATGTCATTTTTCAGCTCAACTATAAGAGATAAAGGATTAAAGGATTGAATGACCTTTTTTGTAGAAAATTCGAAGATCTTCAACTTTTGTTCCAAGCTTTTTTTGTAACTTTAACATCACACTCACGTCACAACTTATCATTATTAAGAATATCAATAATCTGTTTTCCCAGATCCTTCAGAATGGAATGCTCACCATATCGCTTCGTGGGTGACTTGGTGTTCAAAAACATTTGCTATTGACCCCTTGCCATTACCAGATCAATTACCATTAAATGGAAAGGAGCTTTTAGAAGTTTCGTCAAAAGAATGGCAAAAAATCCCTGGAGGAAAATATCTTGCTCGACACTTGGGATATCTTAAACTTCACGCAACTGGTGTATATAGTCCAGATCTTTTACAAGAAGATGAAAGTAAGTTTATTCGATTTTTATAAGAGATACGAAGAAAACTTCAAAATCATTTAATTTTACATAAAAACGGTCCTTTAGCTTTATTCTTTATCTCGTATAGATTAGCTGCAAAATAGCGATAAAAATAGATTTTTTCTCATTTTACTGTCTTTATTGTCATTTTGTAATCACTTTGATGATTTGAAAACCTATATTTTTTGTTTTGAGGCGTTTTTATATCTCTCATACTTCAGCTACAAAATAAGAATTTCGATAATGAAGTGTTAAAAAGTGGTTCACTATTTTAAGAATGTTTGAAAAAAATCTGAAATAAAAATATTGATTCATCTAAAAAAGCAAAAATCGCGAGATAAATTCAATGTCTGTATAGAAAATTTATAACAATCCTAGAATCACTGAAAAGATTATTTAGCCTTTTAAACTTATCTTTCCGCTCTGAAGATATTTTCACCCTTAAAGTGTTACTTTCAATCTAAAATTTTATGAACGCACTTTATCGCTGACGAGCAGGTTAAAACAATGCTGGTTATGGAAATGGAAAAAAACTTGAATATCAAGAAATTGAAATATATAATACGTTATACATTACATTTATATTTTGGAATGCGTTGCAGTGTGACTCATGATTAAGTTATGCCCTACAATGTCTCGAAGGGCCTAATCTATTTCCTGAAAGAGAAAGGTATTTACACGATTGAAGTGAGCTGAAGTGCAATGTTAGCGTTAAAATAAAGATAGGCTCAAATCTTTCTTGAAAGTATGGATGAATTTCTCTTATATACAGTCAACTTAAAAATGTATTATAATTGTTCATGATTTAATTAATACATAATTACTGGAGCTACATTAATATTTAAATTAGTAGAATAATGGACAATCAATTATAATACATATAAAATTGTGAAATCTAAAACTTTTATTGAAAATTTTTTTTGTATTTCTCACTGATTTTAAGAAAATAATAATAAAATATGTCACTATTCTACAGTTTTCTGTAATGTTTCTTTTTATATTAATTATTTATAACATAATATTTGATATAACTATTATTAAAAACATAATGAAAAACTGGATGAATAAATGTTTTAATGTCAATAAAACATGGAATAAATTTAATTTCTCTTAAACTACCAAGAGATTTAAGTTAAACTCATGGTGAAAAATTTATCCTTGAATAATATTATATAAGCCATGATGTGTATATGGTTTACGTAGTATAAGGATATTGAGACCGTTTATTAAACGAATCGGACTGTTATCTTGGCGACAGTCTTCATGAATAAACCATCAAATGTTTAGGGGTAAGAGACAGAATTCTATTACCCAAGTAACATGACTTAAGTATAAACTAGACAGAAGAAGATGCGTTGGGCGAAGTAATGTATGATAACTCCTCTCATTTCTGCATTTATTATATTCGATTACAGCCATTCTTAGTATCTTAGAGCACCTTAAGCTCACTGCGGGATGCAGTAATATTATTTCCCTCGAACATCCATTACCACCTCCCCAGGAACCAAATTTAATGAAAAAATTGGTCATTATATTTGCATTGATATGAATTTCCTGGCGTCGCAGATAAGTAAATATGATAGTTGTTATAATCAAATAGCATGTTGCAAGAATGACTTTTCCCACGAGAGTAAAAAGTTGACCTTTCCTATTAATATATATGCCACCCAGCAGTAAATAGACATCTTCATTTAGAGATATTTGAAAAACTACTGAAGGATATGTAAGAAACATCTTATGCGCAGTTTTGAGATACCTATAAGATATCTAAAGAATGATAGAAAAAAAGAGAGTCAAATAGAAAAATATCAAAGAAAAATGATATGAGTTTTATTCGATTACATAATGAGCATATTACTTTTACTCATTCTTTTTCCGTCTTTGTTTTTCAAAAGATTTGGAGGCACAACAATTCCAGTTTTTTGTAAAAATCTTGTGAACTGTAAAAAATATGAAAAAGAGTTTGGAATGAAAAAGGCCTTTGAATTTCTAGCCGTGAAGTAGTAATAAAGGAAAAAAAGTGATTAGTTTTAAATTCTTCAAATTTTTCTATTTTTATGGTTACATTGCAGCCGAACTATACAAGATGGTAAACAAAATTTAGGAACCTTTTTTATTTAAAATTAAATCATCATCGATTTTATATTTAAATTTTGTTCTGTATCTCTCTTAGTTTAGCAGCAAAATCACGATAAAAATTAAAGACGGATTTTTCGTTGACTTTTAAAATTTTTGTATCTTTATCATCATTTTGCAACTAAACTGTAGGAGATAGAAAATAAAATTTTATGATATTTTTTGTTTAGAATTTGATGTTTTTCAATTTGCATTTGAATCTTTTTCTATATCCATTATAGTTTTCGAATGAATAACAAAAAGTTGATCTTGGTTTAGTTTACGTAATGTTTTATTAATTTCTTGATATTAACTTTTTCCGTCTTTGTGGTTTGTGTCACCAATCACCTCTTTCGGAATTTTTAAATTAAAATCTATGCTATAGCATGTAATTGCGACTATATATAGCGACAATCTGTTGAATTACACTAAAATACAAATGATGAAAGATAAATTAAACCAAAATATAATTAGTATATTCTACTAAAACATAAATGATCAAAATATTCTTAATGTACAAGCATGACTGAAAGAGTTAAAGCACCATTCTTAATATTAAATATGATTCTAAATATTAATCGTTCTCTTGAAAATTATACTTCTATAAACTAAAAGTAATCTATAGGTATTTCTTTTAATTAATTGATTTTTATTTTACCAAATTCCTTTCGAGCCCCCAAATTTCATGCCAGATTAAAAAGAATGATTTTCTTCTTGGTATGAGATAATATAGAAGTTTAGATAGAGAAATCGTTAGAAAGATACTATATGAGATGTTATCTTAAGTTTTGTGGTAACCTCGTCGAGAAGCTCTACGACTGTAGAGGGGATAAAATAAGGGATGAAATGATTCGCGAGACCAAAGGTCGTTCAGATTCTTAGTATCCATCAAACTACATGTTTCATCTGATACAATTTTTTATATGATTAACTCTTATCTTAAAAAATGTTCTTTCTTTTCAAATTAAAGTTTGTATACAATTACCAAAAGTATTGTAAGTCAATTCACTTTGAAAAAATTTACTATTTGTGATCAAACGAAAGCTACTCCAAGATCATTTATAACAAGCCGTTTTTGTTTGTTGGGGCTCTTGATTAAAAATTAAACTCGCTAAACAATGATTCTGTGTATTATTAAGAGTAAAAAAAAATGACTGTGGTGCTTTTAAATATGATTATCAAGTGCTTGAGATTGAAAATTTTTTGAATTGCAAAATTTTTATCATCGGAGTTCTTATTAACGTTATGTGGAGGACCCATATGTATTCGTTACATGTTCAACAAGACAGAATTCATCCAACAATTTTTTACAACGGTGAGCGTTACGACTGAAAGTTGATTATCAGTGCTAAATAAATGATGAAATTTTGAACATTTTCATCTTCATTTTGTAACTGAACTATGTGGGATACAGAAAAGAAGTTAACTTATAAGTTAAAGATCATTTAATTTTACATAAAGAAGGTCCTTGATAGTCCAAGAGCAGTGTGAATTCCTTATTAATTAATTTTAAGACAATTGAAAAAATTTTTTTATGGTGATTTACTGTAGAGATTAACGAAAAGAGTATTTGTGCCAAATGTCATTATTTAAAAATGATTTTTACTTTTGTTTAACAACAAGTGAAATTTCGCAAAGTGCATTTTTTGACTTTTCACAGCTTACGCAGCAAGAACCTTTAATTTTTTCGAAAAAAAAGAGCTACCTTTTTGGTAAGAATCGAATTCTCTACAAAAAAAAGTCGACAAGAGCATATATTTATTTGTTATAGGTAAAAAGGTGCAGCGCTCTAAACGCACACATCACGACTAATTAGTAATATCAGAAGATTATTAATTGTAATGACTCTTTTATATCAAAAAAGCAGGAAATTAAAAAAATATGCATACAGCTAGACTTAAACGCAGAAGACGATTCTGAACATTCCATAATTTTTTGAAATTATTAAAAGGATAATAAATATTTTTTCAATTAATTAATTGGAAGACGCTCAACGGCACATTTCACCAGAACGCCAAAAATGGTTAGTCTTGATGTGCGCGTTTAGAGCGCTGCACCTTTTTACCTATAACAAATAAATATATGCTCTTGTCGACTTTTTTTTGTAGAGAATTCGATTCTTACAAAAAAGGTAGCTCTTTTTTTTCGAAAAAATTAAAGGTTCTTGCTGCGTAAGCTGTGAAAAGTCAAAAAATGCACTTTGCGAAATTTCACTTGTTGTTAAACAAAAGTAAAAATCATTTTTAAATAATGACATTTGGCACAAATACTCTTTTCGTTAATCTCTACAGTAAATCTTTTGAAATTAATGCATACTAGCGGAGGAGTTCTTTATACTACTCTTGGTTATAAGTATTCATCTCTACCTTGTATAGTTTAGCTGCAAAACAACAATAAAAATAAAAGAAACGGTCTGAGCATACTGTGTCAATACTAACACGACAAACTTTCCATTGGTAATTTTTCATGGCAAATTCAAATTGTTATCAACAATGCGTAATAGTCGGAAGTCATATCTTATCGTCAATGATATTATTTTGTTGAAAGCATTCAAATTTCTGTGATATACGCATTAGTGAATCGATAAATAAAATTTTGAATTGTTTATAACACATTCATATTGTTATAAATAATGTGTAATTGTTGACAGTCTTATTTGGTTGTGCGCAATAATGTCTAGTCAATATCAACTTAATTTCCAAATAAAATTTTTAGTTTTTGGCTCAAAAGTATTTTACATTGCTAATCTTTTCATTATTTTATTATTTATTGTGATATAGGAAAAAAACAGCTCAACCAAATTTGCTTTGATTCCTCTCAGATCTTTTTTGTAATAATATTTTTCAAATTAATTTTGGTTCAAGTTTATATCT